CACACTAAGCTCTAAATCAGGGACTTGGTCTAGCAAAAGTTTTTGGTTGTTGTAGAAGACAAAGCTGAACACAGAGACCCACTGTTACATTTAGCCTGCACTCTCTAATTACATCCTCTGGGTATACTGATTTAATAACCTAATTTCTTGAAGTAGAAAAGACCTGTGTTGTCATTCCCATAATTCTCAATAGTGACACCTACTTCTTCTCTTTTCCTCTTACCCTTGTCCTTTTTCATTCTTGCCATAAAATGATTTACTGTTTCTTTAAATCACATTTAATTAAGGTTTGTTTTCATCCTCCATTTGTTTTTTCCCCTGTTGCCTTGTGTTGGTAGCAGGTAAATCCTGAATTTCTAATAAATGCAAATGGATTAAAGAAGATCACGAGTTCAAGATTATTTTAACTTCACTGGCATAATTGTTAATATCTCTGTTGTCCCCTGGGATATGTAGGATTACATCAATTAAATTGGTCTCTGCAACTGAACACATTAACCATAACTGTGACGACTAGTGTCTTCCCCAGCACCCTTTAGGTGTTTAATTTGCTTGCCTGTAATAGATTGTCAGAGCAGTAAACGTGAGGCAAGTAATGTAAGTGGTATAATGATGGTAATTATCTGAATGGATCGATTGTAGTGTTATTGCAACATGATATCATGAGTAGGAGCGAGATAGAGACATCCCATATAAATTCCCATTTTCAGCTTTATTTCCTTACACATTTTTTCCAAGACATTTAAAGTGAAAACAATGTAAACTGGCATTGCCATTCTCTCCTTTATCTCTTCCCATTATCCTTTGTGCTGTTGCCTTCCTGAAACCAGCAGACCCCACGCGAGCTCAATTTCTCTGAAGAAAGCAGCGACTTTATAGAAATGGAATTCCAGCAGTTCCCCTGTGATTCACGATATCCAAATATTTGAACTGGAAGTCACTTTGTAGATTGGCTAGGCTGTTCCCTTCATTTATTGCCTAAGGAACTGTGAACCTGGCAAGCTTAAATGACTTGCTAAAGGTATTGCCAGGTAGCCTGCAACCATGGGGCTAGAAAATGGAGCCCGTCCTCCCGCCTGGGCTGAGGGAGGACTGGAGAGGTTACACCAGCCGCAGGTATGAAAGAGGTTCAGTGTGACAGACGACAGCCATCCCTGAAGGAAACAGCGACAAGCAGTAAGGAAACAGCTTTCAGTTGAGTGTTGGAGAGGGGGGTTGGAGGTGGGAAGGAAGAGAAGAAACAGTCCAGGGATAACCAATATTGAGTAAGTCCAAACAACCGATCTGCCTGAGGATAGCATCGCTGGGTTGCGTGGGAGATGTCTGCCCATGACCAGAATGGAAAGAACATCGCTGGATCCGGCCCGAGGGACGGAAGTATTTGGGTGGATGCTGAAACAGGGACCAGGTCAGAGGAAAGAAGTCAAAGCCAAGTATTGGAACTGGTACCTGAAGAAGAAACAGGGGTTGAATCCTGGGATGTGAACCAGGAATAGGTCAAGAGGATCCAACAGTGGCAGGAGCACTCCCCAAAAGGCTTCTGCTAGCAATTTCCCTCAACTTTCCCCCCATTTTCATTTGATCACTTCATCTGAGTTTCATTGTAGATGAAAATAACAAACTGGCCTCAATCTGGAGCTTTTTAGACACCTGTCAGAGAAAATACTGCAGACATCAGAGGCACAAATAAAACCATATACAAACCATACTTTCTGCGTTACCAGAAAATGGAACATTAGAACTTCAAATCACTATTCAGTAGAGGACACCAAATACCCACAGAGCTGTGGTTATAAGCCTGTGTGTCCTAGGAGAGGGTGGTTGCAGAGTGTGGGGACAAAGCGCTCCTCATATTGACCACAAATGGAGACTCGATGTGCCCAGTGCTGTCTGTGTATGCAGGGCAGGGCTTGAAAGTGGGGGGGCGCAATCTCAGAGAAGCAAGGTTTCTGGGGAGAAGGAAGCAAGGAGAGAAGAAGAGGTGCCATTGGAATATCTGGTTCTGCGGAGAAAAGGAAGAAGGAAAATTTTAGGATGCTAGAGAAATATAAGACCAACGTCCTCCAATCATCATGTGGTAAAGACGCTAAAACAAGAGTAGGAACAGGGTGTATGAACAGTGAAACACACTGATAAAGTAGAAAAGAATGTGACAAGAGGACTGGTAGGAAGAAGAACTGAGGGGAAAAGTGATTGTGGCACATGTAATTGGAGGGAGTCGAGGAACGTGATTTTAACTAGATAGTAACAATAAAGTAAGACCCCAAAGGGAATAATAAACACTATTAAAGAACCTGCAAAAGGTGGAGGGGACTGGAGGAGAAGTAGGAGAGGAAGTGACACTTCACTGAGTGTCTCTTTAGTATAGTGTTGACTTTGGGAATCATATTAATATTTTCTATATTCAGAAATTTAGATGACATATACAAGAAGAGGAGAAATTAAATCTGAGTACTGTCAGAAGTAAACGAGCTGAACTGCACAAAGGAGTAAATAGCAGAATGACAGAGATGGGTGACAGTTACCAACCTACTAATTTTTGAACATAGCATCATTACTGTGTACCCACATTCTAAAGGAAAAACACGTTACAAACTCTTCTTACTACTGTTTCCCATACAGTAGCAATCTTGCATGCACTGTGGGATTGAGTAAATGAGTGAATGTATGGCTGTCTGTGTTCTTACAGTGGAAGAGGAAGACACAAATATGAAATGAGGGAGGCAAAGAAGAGTTCTGTAGGGGCTGGAGAGAGAGAGTGTGTGTGTGTGTATGTGTGTGTGTAGGTATAGTGAGAAGAGAAAGACAGAGACCCTTTCACTGAAAGGGACTGGAAGAAATGACCTCTCACTGGCATCCACTAATAACCAGATCTTTTTTTCCAATTATCATTCCCCAACTAAAAGCAAGCAGGATTTCTTGGAAAAAAGGCTGATTTCAGGAATGGCATAAAGAAAAAGCAAAGTGGGCTTGGAACATTTCCCTGAGCCTAAAAAAAGTTCTTTTCAAGGTGATGAAAACAGTCAAAAGGACACAGGTTATAGACATTCACCTTTCTAAAGCTGGGATAACTTGAGCATCATAATACATATGGTAATGACTTAGAACCCTTTCAATAATATAAGAATCCATGGATTCATACTGATAAGTAATAAATAGGAAAAGCATTTTCTTATGATAGAATGTAAATTCATAAATGTATGTGGAATAATGGAGTGAGAAGTCACCATGTGCAACCGTAGGAATCATTGATTCAGGTAAGATTCATCAGTGGTTGCTAAAATGAAAGTTTGATGAGAATATGATATTTTCATAGTCTAAAAACATCTCTGCACAATTTATTAAGTACAAAAGGAAAGTAGCTTTGGAGTGGAGAGATTTGTCAGACCCCACCTTAACCAAGTGGTCAAAGCTAACATGTCCAGTAATGGATACATGGACATGATATAATTCTTATAGGATGCACTGAGAAGGACCCAACATCCGTCATGTGCTACTCCTGCCAAGTGTGCAGAAGGAAACTTGAAACAAACCCTAAATAAGGGACATTCCACAAAATAATTGGCCTTTACTCTTCCAAGAAAGAAAAAGAAGAAGGGGAAGGAGAGTAAGAGAAAGGAAGGAAGGAAACAAAGAAATGAAAACAGAAAAAGAAATTAATAGCATGAAAGATGAAGGACTGTTCTGGAACTTTCCAGCATCCTATACGAATGACAAATAGATGCAGGAGGTGCCTGACCCTGGATGGGTTTCAGGACTGAAAAAAAATCGCTGTGATGACACTATTGGGACAATGGATGAATTGGAATAGGTACTGAAGATCAGACTGGTGTATCAATTTCCTGAACTTGACAACGATACTGTGGTTGTGTAAAACAATGCTTTTGTTATTAGGAAATATACACAGAAGTATTTAGGGATAAAGGGCATCACGTCTGCAGCTCCTTTTCAAGTTGCAGGGGGAAACGATGAAAGAAAAAGAGAATGATCTAGTGATCTCTCAAGTGTGGCAAAATGTTAACACCTGGTAAATCTGAGAAAAGGGAATGTGGGAGTTCTTTATACTACTCTTTCAAATCATCTGCAAGTTTGAAATTATTTCCAAAGAGGAAGTTTTTGGTGTTTGTTTGTTTGTTTTTTTCTTAAATAGGAAGAAACTGTAAGGAGAAAAGAGGGGTGTGCTCACTGCTGCAGCTTTGGGAAGGGTTAACTTGCCCAGCTCAGGACTCAGAGGAGGCCAGTACTAGCTGTAGGGGATGCAGGTCACCCATGGGGAGGGCAGTTCCCATGTCACCATTTCATGCTCCTTCTAAAACCTAATATGCTTATACCAGTGTCTTTTCCTCCTTGTTGTTCCACTAGTAACCAGGTAACCATATTCAACCTAGTCTCCTCTAATAACCTATTTGCCATTCAGATAGCTACCTGGCTCTGAGGAGCAGGAAAGCTGTAGTTTTTATAAAGGGGGAGCGGATACTCAAGTGTAGCTCGATTCTTAAATTTCTCGTTATATTCTTATGCTTAATAACCATTGATTAACAAGGAAAACAACATGCTTGGTTTGCATCTGGAACTTTGCTCTCATGAATTTACCTGAGATTCTTTTCTATGGCCTGAATAAATATTGGGTTGTGAAACTGTAGCAGGTCTTAATGAAGTGGATTGAGGCATTTCTTACATTTACATTTTCATAGAATGAAATAAACATGGTAATCTTTTTACAGAACACTCTCACATCGGGCCATGATTTGATTTGCTACCTGTTCAGAATATCAAGTCTTGCATTTCTCTAAATGGTAATACACTTTTGTGAACAAGCTGATAAGACAGAAGTCATCCCTGAGATATTTATAATAGCACTTAGAGCAAAGTTGTCAAAGATTCTTCTAAAAGATTGTTTTGGATCCTGAGGAGATATATTTAGTAACTGTATTGAGTAAGTTGTCACCTAACACAACGTTTCATTGATTTATTTGTATTATTTTTGTATCTCACTGCAGGCAGAGAATTCAGCATTGGCTTTGGAAAATGAAAATCAAAGGGAACAGTATGAGCGATGTCTTGACGAGGTAAGCAGACTGGAACGGTTCTTCACAAAATGCTGGACCTTTTAGGAATGCCTTGGTCAGATCTAATCTGTTAGCAGCCTCCGCAGAACGTTAGCATTTTGTCCTCCAAAGGAAGGTTGCAAACATGTATGTGGACATTGAGAAGGAAGGTCAGTCTCTCTACCCCTTCCTCTCCCTATTCCCTCCTCTCCCTATTTTATTGTACAGGCATCTGGAAATTTCTTTTGGCTATTACTTAATATTCTTGGGGCACAGTTGGGGCATGCTTCACTGTATGATAAATTCCTTCTGTCCAGTAAGGGTGAGCCCCAGCCTGTGAACGAGAAAAGCCATGTCAAGGCACGCTGCATCTCCAATTGGATGCTGTTTCTGAAAAAGCAAATCCTTGATAGAGTGGGTGGGGATGATGTTCACAGTTGGCGGTCAGAGGGGAAAAAAAAAAAAAAATCAGTAGATTGAGAACAAGCCAAGAAGAGAAAGGGAAGTGAGGAAGAAAATGTGAGCAGAATGGGAAAAGAGCCACACGCGTGAGTAAACTCAAGAAATATTATTTGATGATAATGAAGAGATGAAGGTGAAGATGGTGTGCGTTTCTGAGCTCCTGGGAGGTGAGGGGAAATTTGAAGTGTGTGCAGGGCCCTCGTTCTCCTCAACCATTCCTCTCACGCTCTGTGAGGAATCCTACCATCAGTCTCAGTGCACAGTAACACCCAGGAAGGACTGGCCATTCGCCTCACTGCTGAGCTCTCATCTGGGGTTTTGTTGGTGATTAGAGTTATTACTTTAATGAGATGACTTTCTGAGTCATCTGTCCAAAACCCTAAAACTTGCACATATCTATCTAGTTATCTTAGGAGTTGTTTTGAAATAGCTGACCCAGGTTTTCAGAAAATAAGCACAACTACATTTTATCATGTTTTATTACCTTACCAGGGGAAACTAGTATATAGATCTTCAGTCTTTTTCTCCTCACTAACAATTAAGAAAACCTTTTCCAGAAAACTCTTGATCTTTCCTCCCCTCCCCTGCACTGTCCCAGAAGGCGATGGATTACACTATGAAGAACACAGCTTCAAATCCCCCTTATGACATCATCACTGCCACCATATACCTCTCCCCTCCTTCCAAAAGGGGAAGCATTGTCTCTCCCCAGAGCTGCAGCTGTGACCAGGAGTTTCCTACACCAGGGGTTCTGAAAATGTGACCCCTGAGCCGACAGCATCAGCCTCACCTGGGAAGTTGTTGGAAATGCATGTTCTGAGGTCCTACCCTAGACATTCCGCAGAAGGAACTCTGGGAGTGGGCATGAGGGTCTGTGTGTTTGCAGGCTCTCCAGGTGAGAGTTTGAGAGCCACTGTCCTTGTACTATGAACCACTTTGCCTTACAGTTACACTCGTGTAGTTGAAGAATACTCAGCATGTTTCCAGAAAGTTACTTACCTGTTTAATATTTCTAGTCATATATCAGTTAGTCAAGCAAAGTGGTATTTGCAGTGCTCTGCCCTCTCAGGACTTAAAAAGACTCAGAATAATCTTTGCAATGCCCAAAGTCAAAAGAATAGCTGAAGTAAGTTGATATAAGAGGGGAACGATGACTCAGTCTAGTGAGACCAGTTCAGCACTTCTCAATCCCATCCCCCAGGCTCTTGGACCAATCAAAGTTTAGGGCAAGAAAGACCAAATAGATCCAAGGATATTGAAAGGAATAAATATTGCCCTTGGGTCATATGTATTGATCAGCAAAGTTTCACTTTAGCGTCATGTGCGGAAATTCTAATGAGGTCGAATCTGTATTCAGAAATTAAATTTATGTGGGTCACACCACAGGAAGCTCTTATGTGTCACAATTCTCCCACGGGTCATCCCTCCTCATCAGTCCAAAAGCTCACAGCCTTTCTTTTGTGGAAACTCCTTGTTTTCCATATGCTCCCTCCCTACACCTGCATTCGGAAGGTTTCATCAGAGTGTGTTGGGTCAAACATAATTTTTGCATCCACAGAATAATTTCACATAGAGTTTCGACTGAAGACAGAATGTTCAGAGAGAGAGCGCATCCCCCTGATCATACTTGCAAAAATTAACTGCTGCCGAAGAGGTGATTTGCAGCTCAGAACCACCTCTGAACGGTACAAATGTTTTGCATTCATGATACTGGCCCCTGATTACACATGCCAGTTGTTTTGTAACTAATTGCGTGAGGGTAGACAATCATTTCTATGCATTATAAGAGAGCACTCTCAAAGGGGTAGTTGAGTGGAGTAATAATGCCAACTGGAAATTCTTTTCAAGACTTTTTAGACTAATTAGACAAACTAACAAGATAAGGGCTCATGTAAGTTATTTCCTTGCTATAGTGGGTTTCATAAAACATACACAAGTGGATATCATCTAAAATTAAAATGTTCTTCAATCCCTTTTGCACTGATTGTTATTTTCTGGGAAACGAAGAACATGTTGAGAGAATTTGGGGAAAAGACTTGGGAGTAGGAAATCCCTTCTGTGTGTTCTAAAAAAAAGGTTATGTTCATTCAGAAGGAAACAGAGCCACATCACAGACACAGGGGCTTACTGGCACACACATGTGTACACACTAGTGTACACACACACACTTCACCACTTTACGTCCCCTCTACCTAGCTCCTCCTCTCCTTGCCTTGCAATACAAAGACAACACCAAGGACCAGTCTTGATTTCTTAAGGGGGTTGGAGGTTTGAATGTTTGAGTCTGGTTTCTTCCTCTAGCTGTTAGACACACAGTTTGCTAGCAAGTAGTGAATTGCTGTTTGTTCTCACTAATGCCTTGGCCAGGGTTCCTTTAGAACCACTAATTTCCCTGGAGAGAATTTTAATGACACATGCAAAAACAAAGGAAGTAGGGGCGCCTGGGTGTCTCAGTGGGTTAATGCCTCTGCCTTCTGAGCTCTGCTCAGTGGGGAGCTTGCTTCCTCCTCTCTCTCTCTCTCTCTGTCTACCTTCCTGCCTACTTGTGATCTCTGTCTATCAAATAAATAAATAAAATCTTAAAAAAAGAAAAAAGGAAAGTAACATCTTACGATGTGGCCTTACATTTAGATGGATCCAGTTGTATCCTACAAATATTTGTCAGGCATCAGGGTCACCAAGGCTTGGGAAGTCATGGTGCTCCTAGCCTGGCAGAAGTGAGAGGGAGGGTCAGTCAAAGAAGAACAAAATGAGGGAAACACACATAGGAAGTGAACTGCCCTGGGGTCTTTAAGAACATACAAAATGGTCAATAAAGGGCAGGAGAGGTAGTGAGTGAATTGGCAGGGAAAGGGGCAGAACTGAAAGGGCATCTTCAGCCACGGGGGTTGGAGCAGGTAAAGTCCAAGTAGTTCTCATCCTTCCCTGAATATCGGACTTACCTGGGAAGGTTTAAGAATACTACCGGCTGGTTCCTCCCTGCCTATTGTCAAGACTCCTTCACGCCGTAACTTGTAGCTGACAGGTGATCCTTTCTACTAAGGGAGGGTCATATATGTTGTCCATGTTGGTTTCAGCTGCCTCTCCTTTCATAACTCCCCTATATGGTCCCCAACTGATCAATATTGACCCATAAGTAGGGACATCTCTACACCCCTGTTCAGCAGAAATACTTACAGAAGGTGAGACCTTCAACCTTCAACAAACTTAAAGATTTAAGGGTCAAAATTGTTCAGTGGGAAGATGATAAGGGAGTGGAAGTCTAGCTGAAGACAAAGACTAAGCACCCTGCAACCTACCCCCTCTACCCCATCCCTCTTGGGCAGGATGTATGTGACTTTCTTCCAGGAAGCTCCCAACCATCTTAATGTTAAAGCCTTGCCAGAGGGGAAAAACAACCTTAACTTGACAATGGCAAGGCCTCTAGTCTCCCCTAAATCCTCTTTAGCATATGAAAGTTCTTTTGAAAACCTCTCTTTTCCTTACCTTTCCCAACACCATAGTATTTAATTAGCCACCCCTCACAATCCACATGTAGCCACTCTTTCTGCCCTTGAGTCCTATCTATGTGCTTTAATAAAACCACCATTTTCACCCCCTGCCCCCCCAAAAAGTAAAAAATACTGCCTGCTGGGCCATGTCTCAGAGATTATGATCCAATTCTGGTCTGTCTAAAGTGGAGCCTGAGTGTTGGGAATCTTAAAGACTCCAGGGAGTTATATATTCAGCCAAGATTAAGAGCCATTGCACTTGATCCTCTGAATGCTTGCTTCAGAGCACATTTTCAGAAAGAGCCATTAAGAGTATAAAAGCTCCACCAAACTTGGATATGATGATAGAAGAGCAACAGACCTATGTGGAAATTTTGGGTTATTTCCAATTCCTCAACAGTATCTGAGCAAACAAAAAAAGTAAATGCTGTCCCAGTGTTTCTCAAAGTGTGTTTTTGGGCCCCTTCTGCATCAGAAAGATGTGCAGTGGTTGCAAAAATGCAGATTCTTGAACCACAAAGGCTCTGAATAGTCAAAGCAATCTTGAAGAAGTAAAGCAAAGCTGGAGGCATCACAAATCCGGACTTCAAGCTATATTGCAAAGCTGGAGTCATCAAGACAGTACGGTACTGGTACAAAACAAACACATATCAATGGAACAGAATAAACCCAGAAATGGACCATCAACTCTATGGTCAGCTAATCTTAGACAAAGCAGGAAAGACTATGTGAAGGGAAAATGACAGTGTCTTCAACAAAGGGTGTTGGGGAAAACTGGACAGCAACATGTGGAAGAATGAAACTGGACCACTTCCTTATGCCATACAAAAACATAAATTCAAAATGGATGAAAGACCTAAATGTGAGACAGGAAACTATCAAAATCCCAGAGAACACAAACAATGACCTCTTTGACATTGGCTGTAGCAACTTCTTACTAGGTACTTCTCCTGAGGCAAGGGAAAGAAAAGTAAAAATAAACTATTGTGACTTCATTGAGATAAAAAGCTTCTGCACAGTGAAGAAAACAACAAGAAGACTAAAAGGCAACCTTTGGAATGAGAGAAG